GATTTAATTATTTTTATTATTACTTGATATTAAACAGAAATTGTCAATAAGGTGTAATGTGATACCAAGAAAACTCTTCATCTGCATTGTTTCCGTCCACGCATCAGTAGTAACAGCTATAAAATTAACTTTTGAAAGAGATTCTTTAAATTTACAAGACATGACATCATATATGTCATCTATTCTTCTTCTAATAGTATTCCTACTAGGAATTTTGTACAAGGGGCATGCTGTTTGCATCAAATGCTTAAAACCTTCATTTTCAACAGTTTTGAACGGCACATTGTCTTTACAAATATAATAAGCTATAGCGTTTGTAATTTTTTCTGCTTTCGTGCCACCTATTAAATAAAATTGAACAAATGTGGTCTTAGTTTCACAATTAATGAAGTATTTTTTAAGCTCTTATAAAATTAAATTATAACAAAAATAATTTTTACATACTCTCTGTTGATTTAATGTTCATTACCATACTAGGTAAAGTTTGCTGTACTTTTGAATATTTAGAGCAAGAAGGTTCCTATAAATAAATTAAAATGTATTCAGTATTGATTGTTTAAAATATACATTTAAATAAGTAGGTTATACATAAACAAAAGCTTATGGGTTTAGTAAATATACTTACATGGTCTAAAATTTGAGGTTCATCTGGAATATCTACTTCGGTTGAGTTTGTATTGAACGATGCGGATGGTAAAACCGTTTGCGATTTCCTTTTTCCAGGAACGACTTTATCTAAAGGATCTTTTAAATGAGTAGCATAATGTGTTTTCAAATTTCCAATACCACCATTAGGTGTCTTGTACGTTTTATTACACATTTTGCATTTATAACTGTATGCATTTATTTGGGTAAAATAATTTAAAATTTGATTTTTTGATAAATTGACAGACATTTTTAACCAACTAAAAAGTTACCTACAAAGTAATACACAATTATACAAACATTGGAACACTCAAACACTACACTCTAACAACTGTATCTTGTTCTTGTACACTACCACATTTTGTAAACATGTAAATATTAACATTTATCGTCATTATAAATAATTGTATACTAATACTAATATTGTTTTTATATTTATTTCTATTGATTAGTCATTCTAAAATTAGATTATTAGTTATCCATTTATTTATAGTGTCTTATGCGGGCTATGGCCTATGATCACTGTCGAGTGTCGACCATAGACATCAAGGTGGATATATCCACCATGAAGGACATATTAATACATCTGTACTACCCAAATCATAATTTAAATTTTCAATTAAATTTCAAAAGTTATTGAAAAACATCATGAAAAAATTATCCAATATTACGGCAAATATATCGACATGGTCGATATATCGGATTATAAATATCGACATAAAATTTCGATATATTTTTACAACAAATATCGATATTTCGATATTATCGATAATATTTGGACATCCCTAGTTCGGTCTCGTTACGAGAAGTGATCAGCACGTCGTCGATGTATGCGAAAACGAAATCCAGTCCTCGCAATATGTGGTTGATCACTCGTTAAAAAGTTTGCGCGGCGTTACGCAGGCCGAAACACGTGACGGGAAACTCGAAAAGGCCGAACGGTGTTGTGACGGCGGTTTTGTGTACGTTCTGAGGCGGGATCGGTACTTGATGGTACGCTCGGACGAGGTCGAGCTTGGTAAAGACGGTCTTTCCGGCGAGATTGGCCGTGAAGTCGTGTTGGTGCGGAAGAGGGTAGCGGTCGGCGATGGTTACCGCGTTGAGTCATGGTCGAAATGTGCCGTCTTTTTTGGAAACTAGTAGCAGCGGGCTTGCTCATGCGCTCGACGATGGTCGACAGATACCTTTCTGCTGCATAGGTTAGGTTAAACTCGGCGCGTGCTATTCGAAGACGGTCGGGCGGTAGTCGGCGTGGACGTGAAAAGAGCGGCGGATCGATCGTGTTAAGTTCGTGTACGACGTAGTGTAAGAACTTGGTCGGAACCGGCGATTTTCACGTGACCTTGGGGTAATCAAGCAGTAACGCTGTCTATCGCGTGGGTTGCGCGATAGTGCACAACGTGGTGTCGTGAGTGTCGGTGACGGAAATTGCTTCGACGAAATTGTTTTGCGAGAGGTCGACGAGTCGATTGTTGCGAATATCGATCAACGGACCGAAGTAGTGTAGAAAATCAGCACCGATAATTGGCCGGGCTACGTCGGCGATTTCGAAGGTCTAGGTGAAGAGTCGTTTGAGTCCTAGGTCAAGGTGGAGCTCTTGAGGGCCAAAGGTTTTGATTCGCATGCCGTTGGCGGCCACAAGGTTGTTGTCTGAGCTTAAAGTGGTGTTGAAGGATGTTCGTGGTGTAGGTTGGGATTACCGATACTTCCGCGCCGGAGTCGATTAAAAATCGACGTCCGGAACGTTTGTCTGAGACGAAGAGTCGGCGATTTTAAGAATGAAGGGGGCGTGTGGCGAGGTGTTGGGAGAACACCACCACCTTTCGGATTTGTCCGCATAGGCGGGGCGAACGTGCACGGCTCGCGGCATTTACGTGCCTCGGCGCCAGGTTACAGACTCCCCAGGAGATCGGACACCATACTGATGCCGTCCTCGTCGAGTGCCGCAAGCACATGGTTCACACGTGCGACGTCGCTTTTGATACGGTACGAGTGGAAAACCGCATCCGCGTGTTTGAACCACTGCTTCGGTGAGTTCCGCCAGAAACCAGGGAGGCGAGTATGAACAGCCGCGGCAACTTCGAGTGAAGCATGGTCGGGAACGGTCGCTGTTGGTGTTGACATGCATTTTTGGTTGTTGGACTGCATAGTGCTGAGTTGAAAGAAAAAGAAATATGTTCGTCGTCGGTTGAAAACGGAAGCAAAAAAATGCCGCAAAAGATCAGAAAAGAACACGAGGTCACCAATGTGGTACGTGTGTCAGGTCGCAAAGTGGACCGTACCAACTATCAATAATAGTATAACAAAGGTCGACGTAGTCTTTTTATTAGAAAAGAAACAAAGCTGACAAAACAGGAACAAAATGGCGCGCACAAAAAAACAGTGAGTGTGATACATATCGGAGACACGTGGTTCGCGGAACGTTTCGTAGAGCCGTGGATGTAACAGACAAAAGTCGTGGTGAGGTTGCTGTGATGTGCGAGCAGGCGCAAGAAAAGCGAGAGTGAATCGTCGGTGCGTCGCGCGAGGCGGCCAGTGTCGTAATTAGAGAGTCAAAGACCCAGGTGCAAACTAATGTGTATGGGCCCCTCTTTTTTGATACATGTAAAAAAATAGGAGTTCTCGCCATGGAAATTTTTTACTCCTTAAAAAGGATAGTATTCGTGGATGAATTGAATTTTAAAGAACCGATGGATATTTTTCTCGTTGAAACAATTCCGTGTAGAGCTTCAACGTACTAGGAACACAGGATCACAATTTTATATTGAATAGATTTTTTATTAATAAAAAAACTTGTAAAATAAACTACATGGGTAGATAAAATAAATAAGTTAGTATATAAAATATATGATATGAATATTATAATATGATTATTGATAATACAAACATGGCTTACAATAAAATATTAATAATAAAAAACATAATAATAACAAAACATTAGAAATAAAAATAATAATAATTATTATCATTATAATATAATAAAATATCTATTACATATTTTATAATATTTAAATATTAGAAAAACATTTTCTTTCGAGCTTTAGCATTTGCAAAATCAGTAATAATCTTTTCAATATTTATTTCATCAGTACGACCTCTTTCAATACTTTATACTGATATATTACTTAACCTTTCTTGAGAAGTAGAATTCTTCAAGTAATTTTTTATCAATTTAAGTTTGGAAAAAGATCAAAAGATCTTTCAGCTGAAGCCACAGTAACAGGAATTGTCAAAAAAAATTATACAAGCTGTTAGAACATCACAAAAAGCTGTTGATAAATCATTATTCACAATAAATATTATAATGTCATTAATATTTTTGATATCTGATTTATTTTTTATTATAGATTGGATACTTATTAACTGTCAAGTAAAATCTGAAGTCACATCTGACTTATACTGTTGAATAAAATCAAAAGAAAAATTAAATAATTTTCTTCAGTACTTCTTAGAAAAGTTGGATTTAAAAATTGAAAAGTCGATGCGATTACTTTTAATCCTTTAAATCTATTTCTTAGTTGTGCTAAAGCAGTATCTACTACTGGATAAAATATTTTGATTCTGAAATTTTCTTCTGTTATATTTAACCTTCTGTCACCATCGATTTCGTCAAAATGTAATTTGGTAAATTGTTGGCGTCTTGATGGAAATTTAGATGAAATACCCCATTTAGAACATAAATAATTAGCAATATTAACAATGTCATTGTAATTCAGTCTTAATTCCGATAATAATCCAATTGCCTGCTCAAGAAGATCACAAGAAGTTTGAATATTTATATCAACACTTTGTAATACTTTTGAAACACCTTGCATACTTCTCAATACTCTTTCCCACAAACATAAAAGTAAAACAAATTCTACAGAATCCAATTTGGAGCGTATACTTTTGCTAACATTTCTTTCATCACCATTTGTTGTTGTAAGAGTAATTTTTGTTAATGTGATCAATACATCATTAAATCTTTCTTTTAACCCTACTGTCAACGACCAAAATGTTCTACGTTGTTCAACAACCGGGGTACCTGGGTACCCACCATATTATTTTCATTGGAATATGAGTGCATTATTGAACTTTGGTTTAAATGTGAACGGTAAACTAAGTTATTTTTGTCACCGAGCAGAAATAATCGATTATGAAGAATAGTTTTTATCTTATCAACGTTTATTGGGCACATAATCTTTATTATAGATAGGATATATTAGTATTTGTTCATCACTTCATCAGTAATCAATTACCAGCGTGTTTACGTATAGTGTGGACGTTCCCAATACGCCGTTGTAAAAATTTGATTTTTTTAGTTTTATTTTATATTAAAGTTATTTTGTGTAAGTTAGTATTTTTGTTTGTTAGCAATGGAAGAACTAACAGAATACGAATTTTCTAGGTAAGTGCATACAAATTTAAATACTTTAAGATTCTATAGATATCAAAATATTCTTATTATATATTTTAGTGTTATTTTATTTATAATGGTATACATATTTTATTGTCGAAACAGATTAAGTGCTAGCGAAAAAGAAAAATATCTTAATGATTTATTAGGAGACGAAAATGATCCAGAAAATATTTATTTATCGGACAGTGACGATGATGAATATTTTCCAGAAGATCAATGTCCGATTTCGGACACTGAGGAAACAACTGGTAATATTTTTTTTAACGTGTTGATTTGTTTACATGTAGTTAAAAAAAATTATACTGTTTATACTGTTTTGATTTTTAGAACAACAACTTGAGCAATCAGATTATGAAGATAATCAAAGTGACGATGAAGAAGTAGAGAACGAAGTTGAACCACTGGAGGAATTTATGCTGGGAAAAGACAAAACCGCATGGGCTCGAAAACCATTTTATAGACATCAAACTGCGAGATGCAATGTTTTGAGGCAAAGAAGTGGTCCACATAAAAGTACGGAGTTGTTATCAATGTCTCATACATTTCAAAAAATTTTTACTGCTGAAATGGTTGACATCATCGTGCGCCATACAAACGCCAAAGCTATTTCAACATATGCAACATATAATGAGGACAATCCGGATAAGAAGCAGCTAAAATGGAATAATTTAACGAGTCAAGAGTTCCGTGCATTTTTAGGAGTGTTGATTATGTCTGGTGCAAACAATTCTAATGCCGACCATACAACGGAAATGTGGCGTCCAAATTCGTATCCATTATATCGTGCATCGTTTGGACTCGGTCGATTTTGGAATATTTTACGATTTATTCGATTTGATAATGCCCACACTAGAGCTGATCGTTTGAAAGAAGACAAAGCTGCTCCTATAGCAGACATATGGACTATGCTCAATGCAAATTTGTCGAAAATGTATAAACCTGATGAGTGTCTAACTGTCGACGAACAACTTTACCCATATAGAGGTCGAACCCGTTTTACACAATACATGCCATCGAAACCCGCAAAGTATGGTGGATATGTGATTCAAAAAATGCGTACCCACTTAGAGGACTTATTTATACTGGAAAATCAAAGGATGGACGCGAAATAAATCAAGGAGAACGAGTTGTGAAAGAATTGGCTGCTCCATACAAAGGGTCTGGTCGAAACATCACTATGGACAACTTTTTCACTACCTTGCCTTTGACAAATTTTCTTTTGTCATGGAATCTCACTACTGTAGGCACACTACGAAAAAATAAAAAATATATTCCAGCTGAAATGATGCCATCAAAAATACGTGATGAATATTCTACGGTGTTTGGGTTTCAAAAAAATTCTACACTGTGTTCGTATGTACCAAAAAGAGGCAAAGCAGTTATCATGTTGTCTTCAATGCATTATGATAATACTGTCTGCGATGAAACAAGAAAAAAACCCGAGATTATAAAGTATTATAACTCAACAAAAGGTGGTGTTGATAGAATGGATCAAATGATCGGACGATATACCACACAACGACAGACAAATCAATGGCCCCTTGCATTTTTTTTCAATATCATTGACGTGGCCAGTCTTGCAACCTACATAATTTATTATGAAAATAATAAAATGATACCAAAAAAAACCAGCCAACGCCGAATATTCTTACGTCAACTGAGTGAAGAACTCTGCATGCCACATATTCAAGAAAGGTCTCAAAACTGTCAAATTATGAGACACTTTTCAACTAAAATGGCAATTGAAAGTATTTATAGATTACCTATCAAATCGACTCAAACTTCTGAAACCAACGTACCAATAAAACAGCTAGATTCCACGGGACGTATAAAAGTTGTTGGCTGTTGTAAAATGTGTTTGAATGGAGAAACGAGAAAACGCAGAAAAACGCGAAAATCATGTGTAAATTGTAATGAACCAGTATGCGATGAACACTCAATAACTATTCATAAATGTGGTAACTGTAGACAGTTGTAATTATTATTCTTCACTTGTATTTTTTTTTTTATCAAAATAAGGATTATATGACAACATTTTTATTATAAAACTGTAATTCATTTTTAATAATAAAAAAAAAAACTAATTGATTATTAAAAAAAAATGCCCAATTTATTTCTAAAATAATGAAACTGATAGAAATTTTTATATTTTTGTTTTATTGACAGATCAGTCATGATGAACACTTAAAATTATAATGCTATGGGTACCCGGGTACCTGGCTGTTGAACAACCATGTTGTTAAATTCAACCTGGAAATATAGACACTAGATATCAATAGAATTGCATTTATTTGCACAATTGAGTTTAAATATATCTATAAGACGAGAACCTAGAAGGATATAGGCATACATTTTCGGAAAAATTAAAAAATCTTGTATGAAATTGAAATGGGTACCCGGGTACCCGGTTGTTGACAGTAGGGTTAATGCAAATATAGCTTGGTGTCGAGCTTCCCAACGTGTCGCGCATACTTTTTTGAGAACAGTTTTATGAACTTTTAAGGTATTTTCTTCTCCCAACGCTAATAAAGCCCATCTAGGAGCTGAACTGCTAAAAAAATTGAAAACTGCTTGTACAGTAATAAAAAAACGTTGAACTGTGTCTGAACTTTTAGCAGAGTCACAAATTACTAAGTTCAAGTTGTGAGCACAACAATGAACAAAGTGAGCATTTGGTACTATGTCTTGAATACGTTTTTGAACACCACTACAAATACCACTCATCACTGCAGCACCATCATACCCTTGACCACGGCACTTAGAAATATCTAAGCATAATTGAGAGAGAACATTAATTATGAGATTTGTGTAATCTTTGGCACCATGATGATCAATTGCATAAAATCCAAGAAATGACTCTTTTATACAAACAGTATGCTTAGTATAATCAATAGTAACATAACAAATTATAATACTGACTTGGTCTAACTTTGTAATATCTTGAGTTGAGTCAACAATTATAGAAAAAAAAGTAGAGATTTTTATTTCATCATAGATGATTTTTCTTAAATTACATGATAAAATTTCAATTAACTCATTTTGAATAGCTGGACTTCAATATTTAATTTGACAATCTTTTTTATCAAGGAGTGTTCTTAAAAGTGGGTCAAATTCTGCAAATAGTTTTACTATTCTAAGAAAATTTCCCTCACAAAATTGCTTGGTTTCATTACCACGGAGTGCCAAATTACCAGCAGTAAGACTTAAAATTATTTTAATTATTCTTCCCAAAACATCTCTCCAGTATTTAGCTTCATTAGAAATTTGAACTTCTAACTCTTTATCAATAGTACAGTTATTTGTCCATATAAGTCTAAGTTGCATTGCATCTAAATGAGGACCTGATATTTCATGAGAAATTATTTTTTGGGACAAATGCTGCCAATCATCAATGCCTTCAACCCATTCTGACTTAAAATTTCGATGATTGTAATCTACAAAAAGCCAGCACGTTTCACAGTATACTTTATCTAATTCTACAGAGTAACAGAGCCAAAGACGGGGAATTAAAACACCAGTTTTAGTTTTCATATTGTAATAGTCGACTGAAAAATTTTCTATTATTGCCATGTATAATTCTATAGGGAAACTGTATTAACGGTCTACAAGGCCCATAAGTCAAAATGGTTCGTTTAAGTTTGCTGTCTATTATAGGTCCTTTAAAATGTCCTCTATCAGTCGGATAATCTAACTTCAAATTTAACTCTAAATGTAAAAAAAAAAAAATAAAAATAGTTAGGTACCTACTTTGTATTTTGTAAATAATAAATTATTTAATGTACCAGACATTTAAAAACATCAGTTTTTATTAGTTAAGTAGCTATTTTATTTTAATGAAGTAAAAGAAGTAAAATGTTTGACAAAACTAACCCTGAGTACTAGTTGATTTCACTTCTAATGTACATGATTCAGTAGATTTACCAGCTATAATTCTGTCTTGGAGTTTTTTCAACTTCAATGTTAACATCTGAGTAAAATATTAGAAAATATTTATGTATGTACTATATGTCTATATATGTTATATTACTTATATAATTTATAATATGCATAACATATTTTAATGTAATACAATTAAACTAATTAAAACAATAAATACAAGATACTTATACTAAATACATAAATTATTACCAATATAATTAAAACTCTCAATTGTCTATTATGAAAATTTATTTATATTATTTATACATAAATATTTTTGAGGAAACAATTTACCATTAACATGTTGATTGCTTTCAAAATAATTCTTAATTTTTGCATTTGTTTTCAAAAGATGTTGTGTTTGTTGAAGTTTCTTTTTTCTCTTAGCCGCACCACTGGGAACTTTTGGATTATTCATAATAAAATATTTATGATAGAAATAATAAAGTAATTATGAGCTTTAAATTACGTAGATTACAATTATATGAAAGTATGTTACACAGTACACAATAATTTTTTTTACACTT